ATTAATTAAAGAATAAGAACAAAGGATGCAATAAATTTCTGTTCATAAGAAAAAAAATTGTAATACAAATAAAAATATGGTAAATACAGAAATTTCTAACGCCTTCGCGAACACGTCCTTGTGCTTCTTTTTTTTTCTATTTTTTTTTTAATTCTCCGAAAATACTAAACGGAAGTGCTTTATTGACAGCAATTACTTTGTTTATATATACAAGGCCGTGGATTACATTTGTGACAGAAAGAAATGAACACGAAAAGAAATCTATTGCTAAAGTTAAAACTTTTAACTTATTACAGAAGTATCAGATTCAACAACTGAGTTACAAAAAGATGTTGAGCTATGACGGTCTAAGTTAAAATCTCGTTGGTAGATAATCTAACATCTACTCTAACAAAATATATTTTTTGACAAAAAAAAAAAACAATTGAATTATGTGCAAAAAAAAAAAAAAAAGTTTCGTGACAATATTTGATTTGTTGAATCTTGATATTTACTTTATATTTTTATTTATTACTATTACGCAAAGTGTTGACACATTTTTGGTGAATAGATTTGGAAATAAATTTGGTGATTAACAAATAACAAAGTCCATAAAAAGAAATATATTTCTATTTCTATTTATATATTATTTTTACTTGCCGTACAACCTGAATATACAAGAAATATTATCAGACAAAAAAGTATCATCCAAAAGCCAAAATGGCGACCTAAAGAGGAGGAGGGAAAGAACAAACCCAGCAACCTCAAAACTCATTTACAGGTAAACCGTCACAAGATAAAACCATCACCAAAGAGGAAGGAGGCATTGCTGCCCATCTATAAGAGCTCACGCTCGAATTGGCACATAACGCAGAATCCAAAGGGGAAGGAGGGACCTACAGGAAATGCTGCGTATTTTTTATAAGGTGAGGTTAGATAGATCATCTGCCTAAATTATTTTATATACAATGTGATTTGTCGGTTAATGATTAATTTCTTTATTAAATTATTACAGAAAAACGTTGTATCTAGACCTGGGTTAAAAAAAATAATTTCTATTCCACTGAATACTACGGTCTAATGGTATTTTTATTCACTTATAAGTTAGAGATTTTAGGTTTGATTCTCAGCAAAAGCAGATTTGAACCATATTATTGCCAACTCATTATGAGGTTAAACCCACATCCTTCTTTTTAGTGCAGATAATATTGTTTGTTAAAAAAATAAAAAATTTCTTCTTTAACATCATATCCCAACAGATGAAATTAACCAAAGAGAAATAATTAACACGCACCTGTTTTAATTTTGATCGTTGATTTTATTTGGTTTATTTAGTATAATGGCTAAAAATCAAGAAAAACATGTAAGAAACAAAAAATGGTATGTGAAAATCGTATCCCTTGGCCAAATACTTTCCCTTTTTCTTCTTCTTTTTCCATTATATTTCGAGTCCGACGAATCCAACACATCCAAACAAGAAAACGCTGTCCAGCCTTTTAGCCTTTAAAACAACAGTCTCTCTCTCTCTCAACTCTCAACCTCCTCCTTTCCGCAAAACACCTACTCAGATAAATCACTTTTCCAATAAGCACTTATCTCTCTCTCTCTCTCTCCCCTCCATGCAACCGAGCTAAGACAAAGAGAGAGATGGTTAGAGCCCAGAGAGTTTTGGTGTTATTACTATCTTTTCTGGGGGTGCTTTTGGAGACTTCATGGGCGGAAGAGCAGCTTGTCAATCTGACCAGGCTGCACATGTTTGTGGATGAACTTCCCGATATGCCCCTACTCAAAGGCTTTGATGTTGTCGATGGTGTTCCCAAACCCAAGTCATTAAAAATTGGCATGTACATGAAAAAATGGGTAAGCAACCCAACCATCATTCAATTTGCATTTATTTTCTAACTGTTGTAAATTATATGGCGTAATTGTTGATAATTATATTTTTACATATATGTTGATTAACGCATTTATTTTGGATTGATGATGAATTGATAATTCGGTCTAAATTTTAGGTAGTTAGACTAAATTTCATAGCTATTTTGCAAACTATCACTAATTGAAAAGAAACACATTAATTAACACATAAGTAATGAGAATTGTTATTGACATTCAAAAAAATTTATTTTACACTTTAAACTTTCTATAATTAGAAAGAAAAATATACTTATGAAAAATGTAGAATGAGATTTTTGAAATGCTAATAACAGTTCGTTAAGTAATAATCCAGTTATTATAGCTTAAGACCGGACCAAGATGCACATAAGGGTCACCAACCCAATTCCATATTCACAGTTGTAAAGCTGCTTCCCGTAATTTAATTATTACTTTATTAGTGGGATCTCATTAGGGATGAGGATTCTCTCCTGATATTAAAAAAATGAGTCTGCTGAGCAAGCAATCGTAATCGTTGAAATTCAATCCAACCTCTACAAACAAAGGATCTTTTAAAAATTATAATACTTATAGTTATTGAATTAAATTTTAACAATCATGATTGTCTGCTCAGCAGATTCAGTTTTTAAGGTCAGGAAAGGATACTGGTCCTTATTAGTGAGCTCGTTTAGACCCCTTCGTTTGTCAGTGTAATCTTTTTATATTATTTTATTTTCTTTGCAGAGATTCCACCGAGACCTTCCGGCGACTCCAGTGTTCGCCTACGGTACACGTAAGCGCACAGCAACAGTGCCTGGTCCAACAATCGAAGCCCTCCAAGGAATCGATACCTTCGTGACGTGGCGTAATTACCTCCCCTCCAAACACATTCTGCCTTGGGATCCCACCATTCCAACGGCCCTACCCGCTACCAACAAGGGCGTTCCTACTGTGGTGCACCTCCACGGCGGCATCCATGAACCCGCAAGCGATGGAAGCGCAGAAGCATGGTTCACCGCCAAATTCAAAGACCGTGGGCCCGCTTGGCAGAAGCGAAGATATCGCTACCGCAATCAGCAACAACCCGGGAACCTGTGGTACCATGATCACTCCATCGGGTTGACCAGAGTCAACCTCCTCGCTGGTTTGATTGGGGCCTACATTGTCCGTCAGCCGGAAGTCGAAGACCCGCTTCGACTCCCAATTGGCGAATTTGATCGAACGCTAATGGTGTTCGATCGTAGCTTTCGCACCGACGGTTCGATATACATGAACTCTACCGGAAACAATCCCTCCATACACCCGCAATGGCAGCCGGAATATTTTGGTGACGCAATTATTGTGAATGGGAAGGCATGGCCGCAGCTGAAGGTACGACGTCGTAAATACAGATTCCGAATTATCAACGCTAGCAATGCGAGGTTTTTCAGATTCTTCTTCGCCAACGGTTTGAGATTCATCCACGTGGGGGCTGATTCGGCGTACCTTGGAAACCGGTGGGGAGCAAGGACATTTTGCTGGCGCCTTCTGAGATCGCTGACGTGGTGGTTGACTTTTCGAAGTCTAAGAATGCCAATGCTATCCTAGCCAATGATGCACCGTATCCTTACCCATCGGGTGATCCCGTTAACATTGCTAACAGTAGGGTCATGCAGTTTTTGATTGCTGATCATTCAGAGCTGGACACGTCACGTGTTCTGGCGAGGTTAATTCAGTACCCCGCTCCTGATCTATCGAGTGCATCACGCACACGATACATTGCAATGTATGAGTACACGAGCGACACCGATGAGCCGACACATCTTTATTTGAACGGGAAATCTTATGAGGCACCGGCGACGGAGATCGCGAAAGCGGGGACCAGTGAGGTGTGGAACGTGATCAATCTGACGGCGGACAACCATCCGTTACACATTCACTTGGGACTGTTCGTTGTACTGGAGCAGAGGGAGCTGGTGAATGTAGAAAAGTTTAAAGAGTGCATGAATAAATTAAACGACGCCGTCAAGTGCCAAATAAGCAAATATGCAGTTGTCAAGAGAGTAGACGTGCCAGCTCACGAGAAAGGTTGGAAGAATGTGTTCAAGATGAGACCCGGTACTGTGACAAAAATATTTTTGAGATTTGCTTACATACACTCGAATGCATCGTATGAGTTTGATCCTACTGCGGAGCCTGGTTACGTGTACCATTGTCATGTAAGTATAGCTTTTAAATTTTGTTTCACTTACACTATGCGTGTTTTCATTTTATTTTCGTATTAGTGATATAATTTAAACTACTCTAGTATGGTGAAAAATTGTTAATATTCATAGGGTTTGACATGTAATTTTAATTCTATTTTGTGTAGATCTTGGATCATGAGGACAATGCCATGATGAGACCCTTAAAAATTGTCCGTTGACAAGGGCGACTGGATACGAGAGACTCCCGGATGCAAAGTAATATATAATCATTTACACAACAAAATCTCTCCACCGAGACCCACCAGTAGTTAAAAGTAGCACCGATACTTTCATGAAGCATATGCAAGATTCATAGACACAACTTTGAATAACAAGGAACTCCCGCGACAAGGCAATGTGGCGTTTTTGTCACAAATATTGATTGTTACAGCTTGAGATGGTAAAAGAGTGCGGAAATCATTTCCTTACTATTATTTTCTACCTCAGCACACTCTTTACAAAGAATAGAAGCTGCATTTTGTGGCCTTTTTGTAGGAACTTTGGGCTGTTGGCCCATTGCACCAAAAAAAAAAAAAAATGGAAAGTCATTTTTTATTTTCTAATGCAATCAATAAAAACAATTTGCAATGCTTCTTGATACAGATTTTTCTTTTTTGGATCTTTGAGGAACTTTTAATTTGGTGAGTCAGAAATTTTTTCAAATGTGTAAACTTGTACCCTACAAATTTTTCATCAAATCATAAAAAATTATGGATAAATTTGCCGATTTGGAGTAAATTATCACTTCATAAATGGAAAGTACAGGAAAATATAACATAAGTTCGAGTTCATTTGAGGGTGATCTAAATCGCTTTAGCATTAGATAGCGTTTTACCGCAATAACGAAAACTAATTATTTTATAGAAAATTAATTTTGAAAAGATGTCGCTTTAAAAAAAAACAATTTTGATTGAGGAAACTTACTTTTAAAGACGGGACTCAGCGGATAACATTGGAAGCACGGCCAGTCAGGAACAGCGGGAAATGGGATAACAGGGCTGCCTCCGAGTTCCGTCGACGGGGAAAACGAGATGACAGTAATTCTGAGCCGTCCGTTCCTCTCCTTGCCCGTTCAAAACCGACGATTCAACAAATCCCGACCGTCCGCTCCACCAATCATCTCATGCTTCAATCCCCGGCACTCCTTCAAGGTCAGTTAATTACCGCCAAACACTCCTCCCATTTATTTGAATTAAATCATGAACAGAACTAAAATTGTTGCTCTGTTTGGATACGGTGATTAAGAGAGACTACACGAGCGTAATGATAGTCCCGACCGGGATTGGAGCCGCCATTGGCGGATACGCCGGCGACGCCCTGCCCGTCGCCCGCACTCTCTCCTCCGTCGTCGATTGTCTCATCGCTCACCCCAACGTACGTATTTTAAATTTTAAATTTAGCGTTTTGAAGTCCCGAATTTGGCAGTCTCCGAGTCTGCCACTGTGATGTTGACTAATGTTAACCGTCGCGGCAGGTGCTGAATGCGGCGATGCTTTACTGGCCAATGCCGAATGCGTTGTACGTCGAAGGCTATGCCCTTGACCGCTTTGCTGAAGGCCTATGGGGTCTCATGCCTGTTCACCAAAACAAGGTAATTTCGGAAATTGAAATTTAATTTTCTCAACACATTTTATAGGTTTATTTTACTTAGTGTTTGATTTGTGAAGCAGGTGGGTTTGGTTCTTGATTGTGGCATCGAGGAGGAGCTTCGTGTTCGCCATTTGCAAGTGGCGGATGCTGCGAGGGCTTCCCTTGGCTTGCCTGTTGTGGAATATGTTGTCACTGACACTCCATTGCAGGTACTAATTTAGCTGTTGAAACTTGGATTTGATTTTGTATTGCGTTTATACGGTTATTAGGTTTTTGATCGTTAATTGCACATTATGTATGCCTTTCAAGTTTTAATCTCATTCGAAGAAAGCGCTTGAAAACTCGGCAATTGCAAAGAGATTTAGTCGTTACTAGCTTCACTTTTCTTTGCTGCCAAGCCTGTGTTTTCATCTCAATAATTGTGACTGTACGAGATTGAATGGGACAAGTTTTACAGGTAGAGAAGTGGGTTGATCCAAAAACCAGGCAATCAACAGGGAGGATTAAGCACCCTGATTCACTATTGAGGGCTGTGCAGGCTTTAGTTAAACACTCGCAAGTAAATGCTGTTGCAGTTGTTGGACGCTTCCCGGACGATGATGATGTTCATGACACAGACGATTATCGACAAGGGATGGTATGTTAAATTTTAACAACAATATAATGCATGTTCTGTTTTGTTATGTGTAAACTTTCCTGAATTGTTGAACTCTCGACTGCAATTTTATTATGCAATAAGTTGAAGCGAGCCAATTGCTTATTGTACTTGGTTTACTTAATTTTGTTACAATGAGTCCGTTGAACATGACCCTGAACAATAAGTTTCCAAATTTCACATTAGTGGTCCGGTTTTATGTAACATTGAAAATAGGGAAGATGTCGACGCTGCTAATATTTTTCCTCCTTCCCCCTCCCATTTCATCTTTCTATACTAACGTGCAATTTAGGATACTAGTGTAATGACAGGAATTGAAACTGCTTAGACGCATCATGTGTTGTACAGGCATCGCTCTCTAGTATTTGTGGTTATCACATAGCCACGCACAACCATAAACATCAATTTACAGTTAAAAACTAATCAGGACCATGATTAATATAGGGAATAAGGTGATATTAATGATGACATGCGAACGTTTTGGTTTGTTTGATATTACACTCTACTTCAGACATTACCTTCAGCAGCAAGACTGAAGGCATTCTGTTTATTTGTATAAAGTCGACATCTCATTTCACTTTGTACCTTACAGGGAATTGATCTATTGGCAGGGGTTGAGGCAGTTATAAGCCATCTAGTGGTGAAGGAGTTCCAAATTCCTTGTGCACACGCTCCTGCTTTATCACCACTCCCCATGACCCCATCTCTATGCCCAAAATCAGCTGCTGAGGAGGTCAGTAAATTTTTGCATAACTCAGAGTCTCGATGGCCGGTCTATGAGCGTTAGGAGATAATACTCGTAGGGAACATTGGAAAAAAAAAGTAGAAATGAAAGAATATGATATCAATGCTCTTCTGGAAGGTGATTTCTTTGTTCTCTCTTTTTCTATGTGCAACAGTTGGGGTACACATTCTTGCCATGTGTGCTTGCTGGGCTTAGTAATGCACCACAGTACTTGGTAAAGAACTCTGAGTCGGAGAATGGTTGCATACTTGCTAGTGATGTTGATAGCGTCATCCTTCCTAGAGATGCTTTTGGAGGACATGGCGCTATTGCTTTTGCACGAAGCAAAAGAAACAAGGTATAATCTTGGAACCTGAGGATGTTTTGCCTATTGCACGTATCAAAAGCAGATTTGACTGATATCATATGGCTACTTTTTCCTTGCGATACTAATTCTAATTTTATTACAGCCACTTATAATTGCTGTGGATGAAAATGAAACAGTCCTTGATGATACACCAGATAAATTTGGGATTGAAGCGGTATGTATCCAAATGTGCAATCAAATGTGTGCACATCCCGTCTTCTCATTTTCCCCCCTTTGGTTGTTGGGACTTGGGAGTAACTTCTGGGATGGAAGAATTTCCACGTGTCTCGTTCTAATTTATGGTGTAGTGATCTGTAGATATCATTATTCATTTCTTCTGAACATACGTACCCACTAGGAAAATGGCTTTGCTTCAACTCATAGGCTTTATGTTTCTAAGCTAAATGAAACTTTTCCTGCAGGTCAATGTCTCAAACTATTGGGAAGCAATCGGTGTCATTGCAGCACACAAGGCTGGAGTAAATCCGCATTCTCTACGAAGAAATAGGATTAAGAATCTTCAACAAACTTCTCTGTTGCCTGCCAATGGTTACGCTGTTAAAATGCCACAGTAATCGGCTGATTAAAGTAGTTACATTTCTCTTTCCAACTAATTTTTTTAGGCTTTAACTATTCAAGTTTCGAAATACATCATTCAACACTTGAGAATTTTATCACGTTGGATTTATGGTTGAAGATTCAACCTGCTGTTCTCGTAAAGATGTTGATGATTTTTCAGTAGGTGGAACGGATGCAGCTTGGTGACTTGTTGAATCCGCTACTGACTTTTAACCAGGTGAATCACCTGGTCACGAATTAAGCGCCATTCGACGTGGATAGGCGGCACCGAATACCAATTCATCAACCTAAATGTTGATGGAACGTGAAACTACAAGTCAATGGTTGTCTTGTATTTGTTTCGGTACGTTTTAGATCTTGATCAGAAGTAAAATAAATTGGTGGTGATCAAATTTTGTACTGAATGATGATGCTAATGCTGATACACATAAACATACATAGATATATCTGTTTGTAGACAAATATACATATAATTGAACGATGACCATAGAATTTGTTGGTACTGTCCTATTTCTTATCTTTGTATACATATAGTTGAACGATGACCATAGAATCTGTTGGTACTGTCCTTGTTCTTATCTGATACCTGTCCTAAAAAAATTGGGACGACTCTCTGCACCCCCACCTGCCGTTCAAAACTGGGGTTATTGACAACACAGAGCAGAAAGTAAAAGTTTGAATTGTTTTGCGAGTTTTGATTGTTTATGTTACAATTTACAACAGCAGTCTGACTCTTGAGAGGTTCAAATCTAGAAGCTGCCTTGACTGGAGTAAATATTGTTCATCTTTTTGTGGAAAAGGGCAGTCTACAAGGATCATAGATTGTGAATGGACTTTCCTTGTGCTGGTAGGAGCATCTCTAAATGAGATGTCAAAAATTATACGCAAAATATTATGACAAAAAAGAGTAGTATTTTTGTTTCAAATGAGATATTAAAATCCTACTTGGATTGATATTCTCTATTTTGTTGTCAAATTTGAAGATAGCGTCAAAATTTTTTTTTGTTTGTTTTATTTTAAATAAAAACTAATGAAAAGAACTTGAAAACTTTGAGTTTTAACGATAATAACAAAATAAAGAGTAAAGTGAATAGTACCAGATTTTACTTTTTAGTGTAAAAATATGATTTTTCGTTAAAATGAACAATACTATATGCTTTTCTTTAAAACTCCTTTATTTTAATGCTAGGCCCACAGATTGTCTTAATTTTTCTCACTTGTTGATTATTTTATTATTAAATTTTGACTCACGCGCTTTTATAAATAATAAAAAAGCATTGGACACTTTGCAAAATGTGATGTTACCCATCAACTATAAAAATGAAATTTGACATTCTTCTCGATGAAAGCACTTATGTGGCACAAAAGTACTTTTGAAAATTTCTGCCAAATACAATGAATGCTTTTGGCTGCCAAAAACTATTTTTATCCGTTATAGAAGTAAGTCTCAAACAAGCTCGACTTTCTAGAAAACCATAATCAATGCAAATAACTTACTTAGTTGATGGAGGATAAAGGGATTTAAGGTTGTGATTCAAGACTCCGGATCCTATTTGTGAGATCTGAGAATCTGTAAATCGTGTTCATTCATCGTATATTGTGCGGTCAAAAATTATTTTAAATATTTTTATTTAAAATTATACACAAACAATATCTGATAAAAACTAATTATATGATGTACGATAAACGAACATAATTTACGAATCCTTAATATCCTTACCAAAAAGATCCAAGGAGGATCCTGTCGGTTGTTTCAGAAAACCTTAACCTACGATTTCAGAATCCAATGTTTTGATTCATCGTAAATGGGTACATGAGCACTAAAATATTGTCACAATTTAAATACAAGAAAAACCTAATAATCATTAAAAGAGAGAAAATATATTATACTATAATAAGTTGAAAGGTAGATAGTGAAGGAGGAGGTGCTTATCCCGTTATCCGTGACTGGCAACCGTGTTCGAAATAGTAGATAGTGCTTTGCTGGTAAAGTGATTGGCGGTGGCTCGCTGGGAAATTTTAGATAACATGCATGGCAACCGTGTTCGAAATAATAATAATACAATGTTGAGATTTGCTCGTAAAGTGCTTTGCAAACATGAATCATATGTAAGAGCTAGCTTCACCATATGATTGTTTATATACCATTTGATTTCACTTGAGTATAACGATTAATGTATTAAGTTTTAGGTTTTATGAGAGCCCAGTCCATACCGTTACGAGAACGATTTATATGGACCGAACACATTGTCGCGATGACAACTTATATCATAAAACAATCATGTGCATGTTAACTACGCTTCACATAAAATCATATTACTAAATCCGGACGTAATAGTGACGGTGGACGGGTTCGTAAAAGTTGGTCTATACGTTGATGCTTCCCGTATAAAACAGGTCAACTGATTAATACCCTATGCTATAATGTTGTACAGTATATGGAAAGTCGGGTCCAAGAAAAACAGTGTTACTTGCATGCAGCTTGTCATTGATCGAGACCTGTAAAAAAAAATACAGTAAAAATGAGTTGAAGATCCAAGTACTGACATGCATAAAAATATTGCTATAAAAGTCAACAAATAGTTTTCCAAGTACTAGAAATTATGTCATTGCAAATTTTAAATAATACGGCATTCCTGCCCCTCGATCATTGTTGGGCCAGTTTGAGCATAAGATTAAACCAGATGAATCCTTTGTTGATTTTTGTTTGACATAGGAGAGGGCTGGTGGTACGAATACATAGGATAATTAGTTGGGGTTAGGATAGGATCAGATTTGAATTCTTTTGGTGTGACCAAAACTTACAAATGTAGTCGTTTGATTAATATTACAGTTTAGTGATATTGAGAGGTTTTAAGTTTGACTTCTATTGTTGAACTACATGCATTATTGCTAGCCTATTATGAGGCTAAGCTCACATGTCCTCCTTAGTTTAGATAATATCACTTGTCAAAAAAAAAAAAGTTCGACTTCCATTGATGGCGAGCTCTATGCCACATTATTATGACTAATTCATTGTGTGGACAAGCCCAGATCCCCACCCCTTAGTGTAAATATATAATTATATTAAGAAAAAAAATCAAAATTTAACAAAAGAATCTTCTACGATAAAACTAATCGGTAACGAGAATAACCACATTCATTAATCACATTCAAGGTTGCTTAAAATTTTGAGGTGAGACTACACTTCACATCCTAATTAATTCTTCGTGTAACCATACTCAAGCCAAACGCATAAAAAACACATTTGAGTGTTGTGGAACACATGTAGTCCTTGAACTTCAAACAGAAGACAAGGCAACCTGCTTTAATATTATGCAAAAAGAAGAAATTCCATTGTAAAATTAAGTGACAATAAAGAGAGTAGCAACCAAGAATTTTCCATGTAGTTGTATGCCATTCAATTATTCAAGATGTAGAATCGATCTTATTTTTCATGTATACCATTTTTCTTTTTAGACTTTTACGAACAATTCCTTGTCCACGAAAGACAAATGTTAACGATAAAGATGTATTTTTACAGCACCAAATTAAAAGACTAGCTTGGAATAAAAGTACATTGCAAACCAAAAGAAAAGAAAATATAAGAGAAATACGTAGCTGGGGGCAGCTGCCAAGCAAGCGGAGAGGCAGCTCGTCCGTCAAATACACATGGCATTTGTTGGACAAATACGTACACATCATGCTGCAGCTAACACAAGGGGAAGGTGGCATGCTTTCTTTACCTTCAATCTTTCCAATATCCTTTATTAGGGGTTTTATTTCTATACAATATAAATATATATATATATATAATTTTAATTTTGATACCATCCAAATTAAGTTGCTAGATAATGTATGTGCTATTTTTTGCCTGAAAAGTCGTATGCTCATCGATCACTTGCAGTTCAACCCTACCAAGATTTCTTCATAGCCTTAACGATATTGAATTATATCAGGATTTTTTTTTTCTTTTCAAACAAGACTATCATTGAATTGTGCTTTCAAGATCTTAACTCAAATCATTAAAAATAAGATCTAGAATTTAACGGCATATATTACTTGTTATAAAAGACAACCCACTTTTTTTCTATCATATTTCTCACAAGTCTATACGTTATATATATTGCAAAGCAAATATGGTTGCGCATAAGGTTTGCAATTCTTGGATCTTGTTTACACACAACCTTGCATATGATTTAGTAATTTTTCTCAATTGTTACGCTTAAGATAAAATATGATAATATGCATGTCTATAAGATCTAAAGAAACCTTGTTTGTTAAGAAAAAATATCTGTTTACCGTAGAGAATAAGGAATACCGATCAGAGATGTACTTAGCAAACAAAGAAAAAGAATGAATCAGATCTCTATGTATTAATTTACACATTAATTAATTATTTAGCTTTTTTTTTAGTACTCTTCTTGCAGTCGCGCGTGTGTGTGTATTATATGATGCACCTGGGCTCAGTGCCGAGATTTTACCAACAAACAATGATTGATAGTGTTTAATTTGAAGTTAACAAACTTAATTCTTCTCATCTTTTTTCCTTTTTAACGATAAAGTAACAAACTTACTTAGCTCCAATCACCCTAGAGCAAAAGGATATTACCCGTCCTACTATCCAGATCCGTATATTTTAGACAAGTAATATATAGACAACTCTCTCTCTCTCTCTCTCTCACACACACACATACACACACCCACACCCATCTTTCTTACATGCACGAGAGACACATGCTCATCAAGAAGTCCAACAACCTAACTCCCAACCTGCTGTGGATATTGTGTGTGGATATATTGTTTGTTCTTGTTTTTTTCTTCAATCAATGACTAGAAACGTACAAAGATGGGCATTACCTATGGTCCCCTTCTAGCTTTAGCAATTACTAATAAACAGGTTTACAGGTAGCTTAATTGTTGATTACAATGTTTTGTAAGAGAAACAGTACTAATCAATTACATGCATGTGAAAGCTGGTTGATATATATATAACGTATGTAACAATTCAAGATCATCGTCACCATCGGCCCGTTATATATAAACTTCAAACTAATACTTATAATATATATGGGGTTTTAATAAATTAATTTCCTCAATATTGCGTATTAATTAACCTAAACTCTACGTTAATTAATCTCCACAGGCTAGGAGTTTCGACAAATGTTGCTCAGAGAATCAAAATCAGAGAAAAAGATTTATCAAACCCTAACAGTTAATTAATTGGACCCTAGCTACTAAAAACTAATCTATCAATTTGTATACAGGAACCTTTAAAAAATTGTTAGTATTTTTAAGTCTAAATTAACATGATCGATCCACCTAGAATCATTATTAGCATTGCCATTGGGCTTATTAAGTTTATAATATGGTCAGAAAGTGAAAGCTCCAACCGAAGATTCATAGTGTAGGTAATGTGGACGTCATCATTACTTCATTATTACCAGAAAGGAAGACAAGAACAGAGAGAGAATTATTTTTCGCAGTAGGTCAATCATTGAACACGATTACCTACGAGCGAATACTGAA